CACTACCTTTTAAATGGCTGATACCTTTCCTTCCAAAACAAAATTAAAGGTTTTATGAATTTGGTACTCTTAAAATGTAGAATAGGTTTGTTGAGTTTCTTTTGCGCATGTTTATTTTTTTTCTTTCATTCAGTTAAGGATCATAGTTTATTAGGTTTTTGTTGCCTCTAAAAACCTTCCCGCTAATAGCTAAAAGGTATCTTTTTTATTATTATAGCACCGGGATTGTATTTTCCCCTTCCGATTCCTTCCTTAGTATGTATTTAGTACTTCACCCGAATGCTGTATAGGCAAAAGATTTATATTAAACCTCAAACCAGTTTGTTTTAGATAAAGAACTGTCACGTTTATTACGTATTCACTTTAGCCTACAGTCCGATATGTGAAATTCTTGCATTTAGCTCTTACGCAGTATAATCCGTCCTGTTCTCCATATTTCAGGCAAACAGAATTTTATTTTACACAACCAGGGAACAGAGAGTATCTGGCAGTTTTCCATACAGTTAGTAAATATTGTCCTTATCTGATATAGCCAAGCTTGAAAAGATATGCCAGAAGCCCAGATTAGATTGCTGGCTACTGCTTTATTAATCAATGTAATAATTTATTTTTAGTTTTGTAAGTCATATCATCTGTTTTCTTTCTCATATTACATTGTCAATGGTACTTGTAAAGAAAATGAGCCCTACTAAAAATTAAAGGTGAGTGAACAGTTTCAGTAGAATATGTTTTGGCACTACCATAGTTTCTGTGACAGTTGATGAAAGTTTCCTTAAAAATGCTTTTGTCATAAATTCATACGGTACAAAGAATTCAATTTTTGTATCTGAATTAGCTGTCTTCAAACTATCTTTAGAAAGATGCTTCCCTCCTATTTTTAAACAGGTTGATAATCAGAAATTCTCAATTTATAGTCCTCACTTAAAATTATAGACTGCCAGCACTGTTGAAAATTTAGCCATATATTTCAGCATTTAAACTGATATGTTTTAGTATAAGAAAAGGAGCTGCTGGGCCTAAAAACTTTAGAAATAAGGCAAATTAGAGGAGGTTTTCAGTGGTCAATGATTACTGTGGATTACTGTCTTTAATAGGTTTTTTGTTTGTTTGTTGAGGTAAGCAAGCATCACCCAGTTTATTAATATAGTTTTTTTTTTTTGCTTGTGACACTGCAAAGTAGAGAAACAATTTAATTCCATTTCCCGAATGGATCAGTAAGGTGCAGAAAAACAGAATACAAGCAGTTAATGCATATCTAACATGATAAGGCAAGAAAGCTTTGTAGTTGAAGAAGTCGTCTAAATTATTTGTCCAGTTAGACAGCAATGCTGGGAGGGACCAAAGAATCAAATATAGGCTCCCTAGCCTCAAGTTGCCCCCTTATCACTGGATTCCTTTCTGAAATCTTAGTGGAAAACCAGGCCTGCCCCACAGTATAGTAAAGCAGATAGTAATTTTGGATGTTGACATCGCCTGTGTTATTTTTAAAGCAGGGCTACGTTATTTTTGGGAGTCTTACTAGAGTATAGTTTTATCTTTTACATATGCTAATGCTAGTTAATCTCTGGTGTTTATGCGCTCAGGCACACATTTCGCATTCTGTAAGCAAACAGCAGCGTCGGCAGCATCTGGCACGTGCTTCTCATGAACTTCGGAAAAGCTTCTTCGCTATGGCTATATAAAGTCTCGAACCTGAAAGCGAGGTTAATTGTTGCAGTGACAGCGCGTGTGAAACCAGTTTAAGTATAGGGTGCTTCTGTCTGTACATTCTTGCGGCAGGAAATTTTACACCTTAGCAATGTTATTCACAAAACGTACATTTAAGGAACGTCATTAAAGTTGCAAAGTGAAGCACTGAAAAGTTTAGTATGCAACCATAATTAGGCCGAGTCTTGGCCTGCGTTATAATGCAGCCTTCTGCTACATGCCCACATACCATTTTGTCCAGGCCTCTGCTTCACAGAATGCAAAGAGTGGATTGGACTCGGCTAGTAAGCAGCCAGGGAGTATTTTGTTGTTGATTGTAATTAATTGTGTGGCCAAAATCCTCATGTGCTTCTCGTTATAAAAATCAGACTCTGCAGAGAGATGGGCTTTTTCTGATGCTTGGTGCTATATTAAGCATTTCAGACTTCAGTTTTTATTTGACACACAAAGATACTAAACCCGAGTGAATTTAGTCAGTAATTTTGGAATCCCTACTTTGAAATATCTAAAACTCGATTTCATATAATACTGAGTCTTATGCTGATGAGAGATGCGCAAGCTGCAGCCCACGCATGGCCCATTATTGGAGGCAATTTGAGATTATGTAGCAGGCTGTGGTTCTGAATGAATTGTGCTGGCAGTTTTAGCAGCCTGCTCTGTATTTCCTGAGGCAACCCAGAAGAGCACAGAGACTTATCTTTATGAATACAAAGTAAAGCTGAGACTTGCTGTGAACAGCAGGCCTGCCTACTACATACAATACACATATCATCTGTTTTGAAAATGTACACTAATTCCAGACAGAATGCATGGTCTGTTTAACCAGAGGAGCTGAGCACCAGTGATCTTGCATGTGGTGTGCTCAAAGCACAGCTCAGTGCCTTCTGGTTATAATGCGTGTTTCTTCAAATCATATGTCAGATCTCAAGTTCTGCATTAAGCAGACAGGAACACACCATTTACTTGTTTCCAGAAAGTTTTGGTTAATATTAATCAAGTACCGTCACACAGAGCTTTGTCATGGAGACAAGAGTGGATTTGTGTGCTCAACTGCCTTAACCATGAGGTTTCTTTTCCTGCAAAACCATTACCATTAGCTTCTGTCTGCTAATTCCTCTCCTGGAGGAGACAGGACCATAAAAAAGCAGCTTCATTACATTACATTATTCGTTCCCAGAGCACCTCTGTACTGAAGAAGGAAGACATGCTTTGTAAAAATTATGATGAGCATATAATTAAAGATGCATGTGTGTGAGGACATCAAATAAAGGTAACTGTGATGAATTGCATTCTGCGCTTTCTTAGATGTCAAGTGCTGGGTTGTGCAACTTTAATATTCTTTTTCTGTAGTTTTGTGTGCATAATTTTCTACTCTTTAAAAGAAGAAAAATTAATTAGAAAACACAGAAAATCCATCGTGTGGATCACAGACATGGTTAGAATCATTAAATGATTGCCACTTCAGTTGACAGAGTAGCTAGTGATGGTGATGATAGTTGTCAGCCTCTTTGTAGACGAAAGAAGTGGAGGAAACATTACTGTATTGCACAGTTATTTTCTGAAAGCAAAGGAGTGCTATGACAGATTTCAGTTCTTTTCCGTGTTTTGGAAAGAGCTGTTCTTTCCTCGATGGGCTTTTTTTTTTCTCCCCCTTTTTCCTCGAGGTTGACTCATTCCACCTCGTTCTCACTGCCAGCCCTTCCTATTGAAGCTACTCCTTCTTCCAGTCTTATTCTTCTCATTTAGCCTAATTTCTGTTCTTCAGTTGTCTTATCACAGCAGTTCTTCCAGCATGTTCTAGCCTCTTGTGCTGCTATCTTCTTGTCCGTTTTTTCTTTTATTGCTCTGCCTTCTTTGCTCTAGCTTAGATCCAGGTCACCTTCTCCCCCGGTTCATCTCAGCCTTTGTTTTTTGATTTTTTTCTGCATGTACCTGAGGTCTCTGTGTGCCTATACTGACTAATTCTTTTTTCTCTAGCTTCAGTAATTTTCACTTTTCTCTGTCCCATATTCATCAAAACACGAACTTTGCTGAAACATTTCTTTCTTCTAATTTGACTTTTTTCCCTTCGGTATTTGAATTGTAGGCTTCCTGCCCCTTGCATCTGCTTTTATCATCTAACTCCTTCCTGAGTATGAGCAAACATTGCAGAGAAAGTTTCTGGACTCTCTGAAACGCTGGACTGGATATTTCTCAGTTGCTCTGTGGGGATGGGACGTTCAGAGGGGATCTGTTTAAAACTAAGGCCTTCAAAAAGTTGGAGCATTTTAATTTTTTTTTTTTTTAAATGTGTGACCAAGTCTGGTCAGATTTTCTTGAGAAGAGGAAAGGAAATTTGTAATACAAAAGCCAGCCCCCACTAAAATTTTAAGTCCACATTAGGAAGCCCGGACGCTCTGGAGCATTCCACTGTAAAGGCTTCAAAGATTTAAAATAAGTGTCATTTTCTGGCCTCATCTGGAAAGTGGCTGGAACCCTTTTGGACAAAATTTTCTGTGAAAAACACTTAAGCATGCAGTATAGAAATTTCATTTAAATAGTTTTAAGTTTTGTAAAAGTGAACTCATCAAGGAGGTGCTGAGGCAGCCTGAAGTAGGTAATACATCAGGTTTTGTCTGGATCCTTTACGTGTGCTGGGCAAGTTTAAACTGTGAGCTTCGTCCGAACCGTTATCTGTTCTGCCCTTATGACTGGGAGCAGCTTGAAAGTGTTTATGATAGGTTCTGTTTGTTGTTCTAACAGTAATAATGGTTTAAAAATTAGCTCTTCGTTTGTAGATGGTATATATGTTTACATAGGAAAAAACAGATCCTGAGATTAGGAACATATATTCTTTTTCTAAAATGCTGGGGAAGATGATCGTTTATTAATATAAGTATAACTTAATTTGCACAGCTTCTTGCATAGAGGTGTCTCAGCAGATGATGATGATGGTGGAAAGGAAAGTCCTGTAGGACTTACTGCAGGGAATGTGACAGTAGCTAAAACAATGTGGAACGAGCCTGTGTTTTAGTGGCTTTTTTAGGGGGGGGGGGTTGTAGCGGAAACATGGCTTCAGAGGTGTGTAAGAGAAGTAATCTTGACCAAGTCAAACAGGTGGTGAAAAACCCATGCGACTTTACTTATGCATTACAAAATTAACTGTTTAACAGTTTCACAGTCTAGTGAACTTAAGTGTGCAGAGCTTTAAGTATTTGAGGATCAGGGCAATCAGTTTATTGCAGTGATGGATAGTATGTTTGACAGTGTTCCATAGATTTTAATTAAAAATGCCTTTATGCTATTCTTTTTAGCCCTGGAATGAGATCAGATGTAAGTTCTTCTCCATCCACAACCTCAGCAACTACGGGACCACCTCCCAAGCTTTGTCTGGTTTGCTCTGATGAGGCCTCTGGGTGCCATTATGGTGTTCTTACTTGTGGCAGCTGCAAAGTGTTCTTCAAAAGAGCTGTGGAAGGTAAGATATGTTTTTAGGAATTTACTGGTTAAAAATATTTTTAAAAATGTAAAAATAATTTGATTTTGAACAATCTAATAACTGTACTGGAATCCATGCTATTTGTAGAATCGTACTGGAAAACCCCAAGCATTATATCACTGTTTTTTCATAGTAAAATAACATTGATAATGGTGTGACTATCTGAAGCATAGATTGCATTTACATTTATAAAATGCTCCCATTCACTCACAGTGTAAAAGGATGTATTGTTGTCTTGGCTTTCTGTTTCTTTCCTTTTCTTTGACCGCATTGTTTTTGTTTATTTATCCTATTTATATACAGATATATAAATAGCGTCTGTGTGCAGGAGACGGGACTCGTCAAGTTTGTAATTTTTAATTTTAATATGTTTAGCTGTTTTTTGTATAATAGTGTACAGAAAACTTGGTAAATCTCTCATGTGCATGAACATGATAGTTGTACAGTTTTTGATGTAAGCAGTATTGATTATATTACATAAATGTCCGTGTGTGGTATAGTACGAGTAATAGAAACATGTATATGGTTTTGCACCATTGAGATTTCTCTCTAATAACAGGAAGAAAATCATTCTAGAAAATAGAAATGTTGGAAAACTAAATGTGACTCTGTCCTGTGTGTAGCTGAATAAATAATCTGTGATTTGGGCGCTGCCTCAGTAGCCATTATGTAATGAACTAGGTTGTACCTCAGTGCTTGACTCTGCTTCAAACCAAAGAGATGCAGACAAATTGTGAAATATATTCTGTGTCTCTCAAAGGACAGTGATTCCTGTATTCTAAAATTATGTCATCATTAATTACAAAAATCTCCTACAAAGTATCTTGTCTTACGCCTTTTTGATGCAGTTGTTACTGGATATTTTGAAGTGAATCAGACTATTATTTTTGGCAACTATTTTTGCGATTTGGATTTCACTTGAGGAAAGGGAGGCTGTGCATGACAAAGATATATCAGGATTCAGTGCTTCAGAAGAAGCACTTCCTGAATGCCCAACTCTTTTAATGATGCAATAGGAAACGTTATGGAATTCCACAGTTTCTCAGGGGGAGGAGGGAAGTCAAGTTGGTTTCTACTAGACACAACAGAAAAGGATGTCAATACTGCGGCAAGCTGAAGCTGTTTCTGAAGTATAACAAGAGACAATAGTAGCTCAGATGCAGAGCACTGAGCTGTCTTTGCAGTTTCTGAGCTGCTTGGGCTAGCTGTATGCCTCCCAACAGGCCCCATCTGGAGCTGTGCTCCCATTTAGAGCCAGGCTCTTTGTTTGGAGCCAATAATTATCTGTAACTGGAATTGAACTATGGTCACTGGATATCCCCTAAAAGGAGTATTATGTAGGAGCTGAATATATATCATAGTGACAGTTTTGTCCTTCTCAAGCTTAAAAAAATGAGGAAAGAGTTGATACGTGAAAAAAATCTATCCAGGAATTTCTTTTGATAAGTGACACAACCTTGCCGCATCTTACATAAACCATATTAATTTTAAACGTGTAACACAAGGTCGTAGCAGAAGAATTGCCATAAATTCCTCAAGACTTACCTTCGCTTTCATTTGTATTGTTCCAGAGATTATTCCAACCTTAATCCTTTTGATTACTTACCACGGGTGTTTTCAGGAGCTCTTTCAGGATCTGTTTGTTTTAAGATTGGCTTAAGAAACAAATAATTAACTTTTGCCTCTTAACAGGCATTTTTCTTATTTGGAGTATGTATAGAAAGAATTTTTTTCTCCATTATCCTTTGTATTAAAATCTACTAGGCATCCATTACTGTACAGCTCCACCAAACTGCACACTGGTTATGCAGCATTTAGCCTGAAAGTCTCTTTTTGCCTTTGTCTAAACACATATGCGCTGTGACAAAAACAGGATACAGGAACTATTAGTATCTCGAAAATTAGTATAAAGTGTATTTCCCTCAGTAAAGAGCGGAACCAGAGGAAAGGAGAAAGGATAGAGATGGACCAGTATGTTTAGGTACAGTTCTTCACTCAAACCAAGGTCCTTTCTTGAGGAACCCAGCGCATCTGGCTCTGGTTCTTACTTTCAGAGTGCTTCAGAACCCAAAGCCCTCACTATCCAATTTCTCCTGTACCAGCATCAACCCTCTTTGCCTCCCAGCATGTTACCCACAGCCTCCTGCCAGATCTTCATCGCTCCTCCCCACCTCCTTTTCTTCACCTTGCTTCAGATCCTCACACCTATGTACTTCAAATTCCTTCCAGCACCTCTGTGCTCCAAATTATGCTTCTTCTTCAGCCTGTTTAATTCTGTCTCTGTAGCACTGTTGCTCCAAATCCTTTCTGCACCATTTCTAACCTTTTTATAAGCCCGTGTGCTCCACTGAGTAGTGGACTGGCTGGCCAGCCAGGAAGCATACTTGTTCTGTTTGTATGCCTGTAATGCCAGGAGGTTATGTACTGGTTCTTGGACCACAGGTAGGTCGGGTGCCTCTCAGCAGACATCGACCTTAAGTGCTGTACCACAGGTTACATGTTATGCAAACTTGGTCAAAAAGGCCTTTCGCTACGCCCATTCTGTTCCAGAGAGTCTTGCATTCTTCATATTTTCATAGCGCTGAGAGCTCAAGCCGCATTCTTGTGCTGAGGGTTGTACGATGTAGAACAGTGTTGTCCTCTGGGCTCTCTGTACAGTCTTCCTATCTGCAGTAAATTATCTTGGAAACATCTCAGTTTGCTCACTACCAGTTTTTACCAGCTTACTGTTTATTCATTGTCTGGTTTTTAAGCAGCAAATATAACCGGAATGCAATCTTTTGTGCAACTGGCATGTCTTCCGGGCAACGTTCAGACTAAGTGAAGCAGAATCAGCTTCCCCTCTTTTTTCACAAAATGTTGATGTGGCAAGAAAGCTTTAATGTAATGTAATATAAAGAAACCATGTAGCTTTCACCAAAAAAGGCAAGAATGGCTAAGTAGTAAATGTATGAAACCAAGCAGTATTTTCATGAAGGTGAAGCTCTTTATCAGAAAAAAAGGGACAGCCCAGAAAAATTTCCAGCTGAAGCATCCTTGTTTACTGTATGTACTGTATACTATGATCTCAGTTGAACATCTTTGTGAAATGGGAAATTATACTCCCTGGTCTGTTGCAGTGATTACAAATATTTATATTTGTTTCATGTGTGTGTACAAATATATTTGCTTTATATGTATTAATATACTAATAATGGTAAACAGACCCATGATTCACAGGTCTATTTACTAATTCATCTTAGAACACAAGGAATATAAAAGGCTCAGGAAGACTTCCTCTTGTTTAAATGAAAAGGCTTTGGAATTTCAAGAAACTTGAAACACTTCACTGGAAAGAAGCTTGACTAAAGCCATAGTAATGGACTTTGCATACCCATAATTTTCACAGCTGGTTTGAAATAAGTTCCATCATCAAGCTCTTTTTCTGTGAGAAGATTCTTAGAACAGCAATTAGGTTCTGCTGTTAGTAACTCAGTGCTTGGAAAATGCATTTTTCTCTCTATTACACTATCAGGACTTTGAAATGCAGTGCAAAAGCCTAGGTATCAGCTTTATCCCCACTGAAGGTGTGAAAACACCTGTTTTTTTGATCCCTAGGTGGGGAGAGGATGTCTTTTAGTAATAGCTTTTTCTACAGGAAATTATCTTTAGACGATTATTCGCACAATTCAAATAATTAGACTCAGTAGCATTCTTGCCTCCTGTTGCCCTACTCTTAACAACTAAAAAATTCAGTTATTTTTAGTTCCACTTGCCATATTTCTATGCTGAACTTTGTTCTGAATCTGTGAATCCATAAAAATGCCAACGAACTTAAGTTTGTCCACTTTAGCCTCTAAAAACGATGAGGAGGTTTCTTGACTGTTAAATTGATGAAAGCTATATCTATATATCTGTAGAAACTTTGAAATCAATACTTATAAAATGCGTTTATGCATGTTATTTACCTCTCTTGTGAAAGCTTTTAGAAGATATACCTTGGAGGACAGCTTTAAGAAATTAAAGAGAAAAATAGTTTTAGAAGTAGAATTTGCCCGTTGACGAATAGCAGGAAGAAATTCTTCCTGCGTTTATTGGCTTTCGTGTGTAAATAAAAGAACTGTATTGGGTATTTAGAAGTAGGAAATCATACGGATACTGACTATTAACTATAGGGCTTGTGGTTATTTTGTTTGTTTTTGTGAATACAGGACAGCACAATTATCTGTGCGCTGGAAGAAACGATTGCATTATTGACAAAATCCGGAGGAAAAACTGTCCAGCTTGCCGCTACCGGAAATGTCTTCAAGCTGGCATGAACCTAGAAGGTAACTTTACAAGGTTTAAATCTCTTATTTTTGAGTCATGAGCAATGAAGGTCATGCTGCTTATGAAGCTAGAGCAGGTATTTGAGCAGCATTTTAATGTGTTAAAAGTAAGTATCACATTTTACAACATGTATAAGCATTATTTAATGCAAAGAAAGACTTTATTGGTTTTTTTTTAACACCTAGATTTCTCCTGTACTTTGCTCTCCTTACTCAATAGCTCAGTCTTTCAATATATTTAGTATAGGTGAGTCATCCACAAAAAATAGGGCTATTTCTTGTTTCTGTCAGCACATATCCATATCTTGTTTTCTTTTTCACTGAATCTGAGGCAGCAGAACTCTTAACAGAAGTCTTGTAAGGAAGTGTCATGCGTGCCCATTCTTAGGAAAGTGACTTGAAACCGGAAACCATGAAGGGGAAAGCCTAGAGACATGGACCTAAAGTTGGACTGGAACCTATATTTCGAATGGAAGAAAAGGAATGTCTTTTTATTCAGGCTGGTGGATTCTTGTCCTTAAGCATCTGTCAGAATCTCTCTGGAAAACGTAGTATAGTAAATACATATAAATATGCTATGTATTTGCTCTCTGCTAAATCCTGGATGGCTAATGAGAAACGGAGGACTACATCAACTAGGGATTTAGCACCAGTTGTAAAATGGCATAAAACATTTCTCCTGATGTAAGATGCGTTTTATGCTTGATATTTTTTCCTTGAGTTGTAGCAATTAATACAGTACAGATCCTACCATAGTTAGTTGGTCATACCTATGCAGTCAGAATTGTCCGATAAAATGTCAAAAATGTATTTGTCGGATGCAAACATAAAGAGAGTTTTCATTTCGGTGAAAACAAGATTCTTCGGTAAAAAGTATGTGCAAAATTAAGTTAAAGAGAGAATGCTCATATAAGAGTCTATGTTAGCATATTCTTTCTTCCTCTTTTCTGCTTTAAGTTCTCGCAGGCTGATGAATCATCAGTTTTTCTGCCCTGCAGGTGGCTCTACATGCCCCTTTCTTCACTGCAGAAGGGAAAAAAGCCCAACGCGGTCTGATATGCTTCCCCTCATATCACATGCTTACAAATAAATCCTATACTTTGAAGTAGAGATTTGTGGGGATGGGTTGGTTTGTTTACATATTATTTGTGATCTGTATGCAGGAAAAAAGGGTACGTGTCTTAACAGCCAAAATCTACACCAGTGTATTCAAAAATAAATGCTAAAAGTAAGTGAAGTTGTGAATGAGTGTCTCACTGGAGCTAGATTTAGCTTGTCAGACACTCCCAAGTGGGTGAACCTTGCACTTCAAAGATAGTAGCAGAGCAGTCCGCTTACCTAGTCTTCATATCTCAGGTAGAAACATGTATTGCCGTGCTGGGGTTGCTATGGCCAGTAAAGCCTAAAGAAAGCTTAGAGTAACACAGGCACAATTTTCATTTCAAGGTGGAAAAGGATAAATTTTGTTTTAAGATTTTTTTTTGTCTAATTTTTTTCTTCTTAGTTGTTTAAAAAAAAGTATATTGAAGTACTTCAAATGTGTAAATTAATTTGCATGAGTAAAGCGTCTTATATGTGTATTACTTAATATTGAGCCTTTCCATTTCTGTATGAGTATATGTGAACTCTTTTTAAAGCAGACTCCAGTATAGCTAACCTCAGAAAGGCACTAGCACATATTGTATGAGTTGCCTTTCTGCACCAAAGAAAATGAAAATTCAGTGATGTCTCAGACACTTACCACTTTTCCCTGTGTAGTTTGGAGCCCTTCCAACTGTGTTTTGCTTGCCTGAATTTTGGCACGGAGAGTCTTAAAGAGTACTGATTTTTCTGGAGTATAGATACCGTTATATGGGTTGTTGGAAAAGGCAAAAAAAGAAATCACTTTTTTGGCTGAGAGGGAAAAGGAACCTAGAAACTCAGCAATGCAAAAAAAGGAAGAACCCAAGGCAGCGTGAAACTTATCAGACAAATCTGAGCAGGTGGTAGATGGGTCATACAGAAGAAATAGTATAAGACAAAACTGAAAGGCAGCGTAAAGTGCAGAACAGACCAAAAAAAGTTAGTATTCCTTTTATCTTGGCTATTTTAGGATCACAGTTCAAGAATTACTGTAGTTTAGAAGATAATAATTAAATGTGCATACATTTTAGACAGTAATTTATTTTTGAAAAGCCATCAGGGGTATCCTAAATGCTTTAAAGGCACACTTTGAGCAATTTCCAAATAGTGATTATAAGCAAACCAGTTAATGAATAGCAAGAGATCCGAGTAGAGCTATCATGTCACTCTGAGGGTCCCTTTCACTTGGCCTGTCTCCCACATACATCTTATTTTCTTCTAGCTGCCTTTACCTCATGGATTTCCTGCGTATACTTTATGTTCAGTAGCTGCTGGTAGACTTCTTCCATGAATGTGTCCAATCACTTTTTGAATATATGTATGTTACTGATATCTACAGCAAACTATGGTAGTGAATTTCTCAGTTAGGTGTTGTGTGGAATACTACCTTTTTTTTTATTTTAGATCTACCATGTGATGGTTTAGTTCTGAGCTCTTCTCATACTAAGACAAAAATGGTTCTTTATGCATTAAAACTATGTTACTTAATCATTTTCTGTTCTGTTCTTTTTAGTCATCTGTCATATTTTTGACCCTCTTTAGCACTCTTTTGTGAAACTTTCTTGTTTCTGTTGTGTGCTTTTTTTGAGATGGTGGGGGGAAGGAAAAATATACAACTATCAAGCTACAGGTGCCAAAGATTTATACAGTAGAACAATGGTATTTCCTACAATAGCCTTTATTTCTTTGAATGCTCATTTTATGCTTTCATCACTAAATGTCCTTAGAGATTCTTTGGCACCCTTTCTGTTTTCTCCTGTTTTCAGAAGTGATGTGCATGTTCTTCAAGTCTTTCTGGCGCTGTTTGGCCGTTTGCTTGGCAGTGGGCATTTCAGATGATGTTTCCATGAAGGTCTGTCATGTTCTGTCTGCTGCCGAAATTTTTCCTCCAGAACTTCTTTCCTATTCCCCACTATGTTGTTGGCACTTTCATGGATCATGACTGCTGGCTCCTCCTCAGCACTTCATGAGAGGCTGTCTAGATACCTCATGAGTTTTGACACCTTTGCCTTTGGCAGGCCCGCCAATATGGCATCACAAAACTGACGGTTGAATTGCCTGCCACTTCATGTGATGATGTGAAGAACCATCCTTTGCACAAGGGTCTGTGTAGCCATTTCTGGTGGAGAGGTCCCATCTGTGAGGTTGTTTTCCTGTTGGCCAACTTTATGCCCTCCTGCCACATTATCTGCCTTCTCCTGAGCTGCAGTGAGGCTTTTCACCCAGATATGGGACAACTTTACAGTTTCCCTTAAAACTTGAGTGATGAACTTCTCTGTCTCCCTGAGTTCATCTCCTAAGACCATGAGCTTGACCGCATTCCTTCCATGCGCAGGCCGTGCGCCCCCTGGGCAGGTAATTGTGTGCTCGGCAGTTAGCTCAATAAACTAGGAAGCCCGTATGATGTTACTGAATTCCAAACTGCCGGTTTTTCATTTGTTACTTTGTTTAACAAAAAATCTTGGATGCTTTTATTTCCCTGCTGTGTTTCACGGAATCACGGAATGGTTGAGGTTGGAAAGGACCTCTGGAGATCATCTAGTCCAACTCCCTTGCTCAAGCAAGGTCACCTAGAGCACCTTGCCCAGGACCCTGTCCAGGTGGCTTTTGAATATATCTCCAGAGAAGGAAACTCCCCAACTTCTCTGGGCAACCTTCTCCAGTGCTCTGTCACCTTTACAGGAGAGTTTTTCCCCATATTCTGATGGAACTTCCTGTGTTCTGGTTTGTGCCCGCTGCCTCCTATCCTGTTGCTGGACACCACGGAGAAGAGCCTGGCCCCATCTTCTTGACACCCTCCCTTTAGATATTTGTATATGTTGATGAGCTCCCCCCTCAGTCTTCTCTTCTCCAGGCTAAACAGTCCCAGCTCTCTCAGCCTTTCTTCAGAGGAGAGATGCTCCAGTCCCCTCATCCTCTTTGTAGCCCTCTGCTGGACTCTCTCCAGCAGTGCCATGTCTCTCTTGTCCTGGGGAGCCCAGAATTGGACCCAGTACTCCAGGTGAGGCCTCCCCAGGGCTGAGTAGAGGGGCAGGATCACCTCCCTCGTCCTGCTGGCAACACTCTGCCTCATGCACCCCAGGAGACCATTGGCCTTCTTGGCCACCAGGGCACACTGCTGGCTCATGCTTAACTTGTTGTCCACCAGCACTCCCAGGTCCTTCTCGGCAGAACTGCTTTCCAGCAGGTCAGCCCCCAGCCTGTACTGGTGCTTGTATGGGGTTATTCTTCCCTAGATGCAGGACCCTGCACTTGCCTTTGTTGAACTTCAGGAGGTTCCTCTCCGCCCACCTCTCCAGCCTGTCCAGGTCCCTCTGAATGGCAGCACGGCCCTCTCCATGTATCAGCTGCTCCTCCCAGTTTTGTATCATCAGCAAACTTGCGGAGGGTGCACTCTATCCTTTCATCCAGGTCACTGATGAATAAGTTTATCTGTTTCCTGTATCATTTGTAATTTGCCTTACGGAGATGGCTTTACATTTGTAGTATTTTTATGTTTGAAAAGAAATTAGAAAGAAATACGTTATCTCAACCTTCTTTTTTTGAGTTGTAACTACATATCTAAGTTAGGTCTAATAGCATAGCCTAATAAATTCTTGCATAATAATTTTTCTTATCAGATCTGTTTCTTTTGATTATAATTTTATCAGACTTTCTGGGCTGGAAATTTTCCATACCAGGTGGCAGCGTGAAGCTGAAGGCATGTGTTTGTAAATTTAAGATAAAGGAATTCATCTGCTTTTGAGAACAAGGGTAATAGGACAGCGAGAAAAAAAAAAAAAACAGAACGTTGAATAGATTTTGAAGCAGCAATTTCAAAATTTAAAGGAGCATAATAAGAAGCTCCAAGGAAATGACTTTTGCCATTCCCCCATGAAAATCTGTGCGAATGTGGCCAGTATGCAAACCTTTGAAAAACTGCAATTTATGCAAGGTCCATTGAGAATTTGTTATCTTTAGCAATTAAGTTTCTGGAAATTCTGTCCTAGCCAGTGGGAGAAATGGGGTCATGTGGGGGATATTATATTCTGTTAATCTACAAAGGTGATAAATTTCTGATAATTAGAGATTCTGCATAGGTCAGAAAGAACACTGGTTCTTACAAAGGAGCCACATTACATGATATTTTTAGTGCTACTGGTCTACCTCTGAAATTCCAGAACAGAAATCAATTAATTGATTCATTGAGGCATAGGAAAAAAATTGATTTTCATTTCAGTCTCAGTTAAATAGTATATTCATTTCTGCAGACTAGGTCCAAGAGAGCTGAAAGCCAAATTGGAGATTCCATTATTTGGCGATATACTAATAAAATTGTTGCTTCAACTTTCTCTAGCTTACAGCTAACATCTCTGTGTGATGTTTTGTTTATTTGGCGTGTGAATTTTATGGTTTAATTACTGCAGCAGTGATTTACATGCAAGGAAGCTGGCAAGAAAAAGTCTCCTCCTGCCCAGCACTTTCCCAAAAATGTTTTCCCTGGCTCCAGAGATTCAGTAACTTTCCACCCTTGCCTATACTTTTTCGTTTCTTCTGCACAGTTTCTATAGTTAATATATTAAGCAAATTATGAAGTGCCTGCCTGGTCCTGCAAGCACTTCCAAACGGGTGTCATGCTGCTACCTGAAGGCTCATTGAAATTTTGCATGTAAAAGAACTGTTAGGATCACGCCTTGTATTTGTCCATTCTACAAATGTTATTTAATGTTCTGAAACATTTCATTAAAACTTAGAATACCTTCACAAGAAATTTAGTTGGTGTTGAAGTGAAATTATTTACAATTTTATGAGAAAATGCTTTAAAAGTTTCACTTTGCTTCCTGCAAATGCAGGAAAATAAAAGCAACATTTGCTCTTTTTGTTACTTTTAAGTGTGTGGTTACTTTCCATTATCTAACCCATGACTACCAAAAACTTTCCTAGCTCGAAAAACAAAGAAGAAGATAAAAGGAATTCAGCAGGCTAATGTAACGGGAACGAGGGATGCTTCTGAAAATGCTGGAAACAAGAGCATAGTTCCTGCATCACTGCCACAACTAACCCCTACCCTTGTTTCCCTGCTGGAAGTCATTGAACCAGAAGTTCTGTATTCAGGCTATGACAGCACTCTACCTGACTCAAGCTGGCGTATACTGTCAACTCTCAACATGCTAGGAGGACGGCAAGTAGTAGCTGCAGTAAAGTGGGCAAAGGCAATACCAGGTAATAGGCAAATATTATTAATTAGAAAGTGCAGTCTTTTCATTATAATTAAAAGTCTGTATTTGTGTTTGGTGTCTTTCAAGGCCTTCACAGATAAAATTTTAGTAATATCTGAGTTAATTCAGGTCTCAAATACTTTTGAGAAGGAAAAACAGAAAAGATACAGATGTAAAAATTTACTTATTAGGATTACAAACAAGGTCCTTTTAGCTGAACCCTTTGACCATTGACCACCTTCATTTCTAGTCAGTACTCTTAGGTATCTGTTTTCAAAAAAACCTAGCCAAACATACTTTCATAATGCACGTGTTGCCTAACAATAACACCACATAACAGGTCTGCCAACTAAAGAAATGTCCAACCGTGAAATTTATTCTTCCATTTTACATCATGATCTTTCTTTTGAGGGAGGGGAAATAAACCTACTAACAATAGTTTTTTAATTTACAAAAAAAAAAAAAAGACTAGACCCAAATATGTATGTCCAGTGGAGATGTGAATAGAGATCTATATGTCCGTCAAGACTTTTCTGCAAAGAGGGATTACTCTGGATTATCTAAGCCCACATTAGGTAAAGTTCACATGTGCATACTGTTTTCTAGAGTAAGTCTTTAGGAGACCATCTGCTATTCTGAAATACAAATGCAGATATCATTTTTTATGAAACAGTTTTGTGTTCATCATCTCTTCTGAACAGTTTCTCGAAGTAGGCAAGCCCTTCATGTCAGAAAATACACTATATATGAAAAGCCAATCTTTTACTTAATAATTATATTAATGGAAACTGTTTTTATCATATACCTTTTATGACTACTAAGGTTCTTTTTCATGAGAATGTTTAATTTATATATACTTCTGTCGACTGTACCACATCGAACAGACTAACAGTAATCCAGGATTGGTTGCTGCGTGCTATAGCCTGAAATCCTGCAGCTGGATTTCAAAATAACTTTTTCTTGAGGAAGGTTTGAATAAAAATTTCAAGACTTGATCTAGTAAGTTCGAAATAACTCTGAAATACCTTGCTGGTATTTTAGAAATAGTAAACGGTAGTTACTGCTGTCTCCAAAGCCAAAAGCTTTTTTTTTTTTTTTTTTTTGACGTTGTTCAGACAAACTAGATCTTGGTGTGTAATAATCCACTGTATGCTATTTATTTAAATTTCTTCAGGAAGCAGCATTGTGTTGAACTCTTTAGATGTCAGACACCTAATGAAATTAAGTAAAATCAACTTGAATTTAGACTCAGTGTGGCACAATCTTTTCTTGTAGGGAGGGCTTGATAGAAACTACTCTTGGAAATTTAAAAGCTGCCTACATTTTAAGCCTGCATAAGGGATCAATTTTAAGATTTTACACATTTCCTTGTTATCTTCATTTCTTCTACTCATTCTGTGTATTCTTATAAGATTAGGAGCAGTTAATGATGATGAGTAATGGGAGGCATTCCTTTTAAGTTCAGTATAAAAATACTGTTGAATAAGAACAAAATTTGAAGCTAAGCCACCTACTGTCCAGTGAACTGCTGTCCCAAGAATTAAAAAATACTGTTATTTTTGGAAGATAGCCAAGTTAATTTTAGTCTATATTAAATAAAATTACTGTCTTTCTAATCCATCTTTAACTGATCATCAGTTCCAGTGCTAAGTGCATACCTATCTTCTAATTTTTTTAATGCTATATGCTCTTCTAATATCTATAATAGTTACCAAGAAATATCCACCTGACACTCTCTATTCATCCAGAAGGTAACTACCTTCTTGATTGTAAGAATCCAGGGCTTTCAGTCTGCATTTGCTTTTGTGGATGGGACACTGAGAATGTTTTTTCGAAGTATGTATCTAAGTGCACATATACGATATAATGTCAGGTTCAAGAGTTAGTCTTTCTGTGCTTTCTTTTCGATATCATTCTGTGTTATATATGTTTTATGTCATCAACAGTTATAACATTCCAACCAGCTCAAGACTGAGTTATGCTAAAGGCCTCTGTTTGCACCTCTAAAGGCTCATACGTAGTCTGTCATATTGCCTAGAAAACATAATATGAATTCTGTAGTTGCAATGCTTAATTTTTGCCTGCGCAGATTTTTGCATAGGCTAAGGATTCCTTAATGGTATACTCAGTACTTGCATGTGAGCTTGGTAGCTGGAAAAAATGGCACTGAAATTCTGCGCTTTCAAAGTGCATTTTGTTTCAGCCAACAAGAGCTTTCACATAAGAAACCTTTTTTTATTATAGTTTCTTTTTTTCTTCCTCCAAAAATGTAATCTGAAGTATAATACTTGGCTGAATCAGATGATTGTAATTTGACATGAATTTTTTTGTCGTTTCAGGTGCTCTCGTCACAGTTACAGGAAATTGTTATGAAATACATGTTTAAAAATAGTAATATACATTAGTAATACATAAGGTGTACTGATGATAACCATGATCCTTTTCAATATATTTTTCTTTACAACCACTGCTGTCAATTCCAGGTTTCCGAAATTTACACCTGGATGACCAAATGACCCTTCTGCAGTACTCATGGATGTTCCTGATGGCTTTTGCTTTAGGATGGAGATCCTATAAACAATCAAATGGAAATCTCTTGTGCTTTGCACCAGATCTCATTATTAATGAGTAAGTCCTATATAAATCCTCTTCCCAGTTTATCAGGGTGATACTAGACTCTCAGCAGTATTTTTCTGTTTTGTGCTTTAGAGGTCAAATCCTACATAAGGTGTATCATGAGGTAACGAACTCATGCAAAGATCAGAAAGAATTTGTCATTTGCAGCATTATTTTCTTCTAACAGATTGCTTAAGGTTTTTAAATAAGTCATATGGAAAAACAGCATTTTAGACTTCAAGATTATTTTTACCAAGTTTTTGTGGATATGTGTTTGTACTAAATTGTTCTATATTGTAAATGTTCTTGCACCGTTCGCTGTAGTTATTAATTTTATCTGAGCCAACAAACTGAAGCTAAAAATTTGTTTTGGATGAAAAGAGAAGTTTGTCAAATTGCATAATGTTCTATATATTTGTACCCCTGTTGTGTAAAAGTAATATTATCGTTCTCTCAGTTGAACTGAATCCTTGATTAATCAAACATTTATAGAATTGATGTAGTTATCTAAGCCTGATTCAAACCTGCCTAAAAAGACAAGGTTGCTAATGGAAACCACATACCTCTGTTTTATTTTGGTGAATTTGGTGTCAATTTTCAAGACAAACTTAATTTGCTAGAATGTTTTGTCATTTTTTTTCCCTGGGCTGAGCATCATTTCTTTTATTTTTCAAAGTCGTGTTGCTTAGTAATTCTGTGTTATACAGGAGAGGAAGAGGGAATTCAGGATTGCTGAATGGTAGACAGAAGGCTTAATTTCAGATGCAATGGCTATAAACATTTTGTGTGGAAATATGCATGGTTATGTCGCTCCCTGGATACTATTTAAAAGGTGTAGTAACAGATGAGATTAGGTTATGCCTTTCTGCCTCCAGTCTGGAGAGCAAATATTCCGTCTCAAACCCTCTCATACTGGGAAGTATTCTGGAATTAATCTTGACAGACTGTCATACTGTGCTGCCTTTTAATTTGAAGCCGTTTCCGTGATTCTGCGTACTTCAGCTCATTTTTAAAAGTCATTTTTGTCAAGGAGGTGGAAGAACGTCCAAGCAGTCTCTAACAAACTTTTCAAGAGATCTTTCAGTCTTGCAGTTCCAGTGATGCCAGCGATATTTGTAAAGCCTGTGCAGGCATTTTGTCTGTGTTTTGAATTAATTGCTGAAAATAGCCTGTAGATGTAAATCTTTGGGGGTTGCTGGCCGGAGCCGTTCAAAACTTAGTTCGTCCATCTGCAGATTTCGGTTAGTATGATGCTATCGCTGTGGATTTGCCATTGGTCTTATCCGTTTGTGGGGACCAAAACTATTAATGTGACTATATAGGGGCTTTTGAAACCTACATTCACAGAGCTTTTTCAGCATCACAATTTCCCAGGCAATAATTTTAAGAGGTACAAGTGACAATGTGTTATTCGTGCTGGGTGTTTCTTAGTTCTTAGTTTTTATTGGAATTACAGCTGAAAGTTGAGGTGGCTTTAGAAAGCTACGGTGCAGAAAAGACAGATAGGAGACTTGGTATGTAACAGGGTGTGTTGGTAAATGTTTATGAGTGGGTTTTGAAGTTGGCCTGTCACACAGATAGCAGCTGTTTTCCAGCTTATTTCAGATTTTCAAATTTATTGTAGCTTTTCCTTACTGTGTGATCAGAAAACAGAGGTAAATACTAATCTCTTTGGCTTTTTTTTTTTTAAGATAGTAGTCATAATATTTTTGCTCCTGTTGCACTTCAGTGTCACATGTCCCAAATCTTTTCTGTGAAAAAATAAAAAATAAAAAAGAGCTAGTAATTCTTATATTTTCTGTGAGATTAGCCATTTATGTTTCAGACCTTTTTAATTGTGTATGTATTTATTCCCCTTAATGTTTTCAATGTAAGTATTTGTTGAGGCTTCTATAAACTTCAGTCATTTCTTTGTAGTAATTATTTTGTTTAAAAAAAAAAAGGTGAGGAGCAGGAGATATATGCCCATCTCTCTGCTTATGTTTATTAAAACTCTTAGAATATATCTCTGGAATGAAATAGTCTTCCTGTAGTGGAATTAATTCAAATAACAGATATTGTCACTAATAAGAGTAATAGCATTTAATTTGCTTTACGTCAGAAGCCTTCTGCTGTTCTATCATAGGATGAGAACCACAAAGCTTTTCAATTAGAAATGTTTCTGTATTCTCAAAAAACTGTGCAAGGCTTATCCTAGTCTACTGAGTATTAGTTCTCAATTTTTATTCTAGTTATGGATTTGGTTTTGGTATATAGATTTGTTTACAGAAATTTACATTTTTTTTCAGTAAAACATGTATACTGAGAGAACTGCAATTTCTTCTGACTTCTCCTCCTCCAACGTGCTGCAAGTTCCCCCATAAATCTCTCTCTGGTTGTAACTTTGTATATACCATTCATCAATAAAATACAGCCACATCTGAGTTAAGCATGACAAATAATATGTAAAAACATTGCATAAGTTATAAGACAGTTTATGAAGCACAGCACCTTCAGGGAAAGCCGGAAGGGTAGTTTCACTGGGGGAACGTTACTACTGATGCTGAAACACGGGCAAGAGAGGCTTCACGTGCCCTAAGAAAAAATGCGCTTGGGTTTTAGTAGTCGTGTGTCCACTATCTCTGCCTGATACATCATTCAGAAGATAGTTGGGACGCACAGAATCCTCTAAAAGCCGTTCTGGGGGGTATTCAGTACTGAATTAACGATGGTATCACTAACGCTACTTTCTGAGACGCGTCTTAGCGACCTTTCGTCCAAACTCCCCCCCGCCACCTCCACCCCATTAAAGCGCTCGCTCTGGCTAGTAACGCTGGAGGCAGGGCTAAGGTAGAGGGAGAGGTTAACTGTATTTGATGTGAGAACCAGATGTTCACACAGTAGAGTCACCAGTAGCTGCTGCGTGTGTAAGAGGATCAGAACCTTGATTTTTATTGCCTGCAATTTAGGATCAGGGTGATTTTTACAGTTAACTGAAGCTGTCTATGTCTACATCAGATTTTTGGCTTCATATTCGATAGTTTCCGATTTGAATGTGAAGACAAAGATAGAGGCACAAGTTGCTCAGACTTTTAATTTTGGGGATCTGCAAACAACATTTCCACACATCTGTTCTTCATATGAACTTTTTCATTTGTAACTAAGAATTTGTTTCGGCCTCATATTTATTAATTCCAGTTCCAAGAAATTATTTCAGTGGAAGATTGGAACAAAATTATATATTTCTTTATCCATATTGAATTAGAAAACAATAATTCCAGGAGGTCTTCTGTCTCTTCAAGCTTCAGCCTTTAAAGATGTGTTTATTTTTCTTAAATGTAAGCATAAACAAATTGAGGAGTAAAAAACAGCTCTTTTCTTAATTGCCAAAGTCTTTTAGTATTCAAACACCTGAGAAACCCGTAATCTGTGTTAATATATATTCCCTCTTTGAAGTTAGCATTTGGAAATAGTTTCCTGGAAATACTGATTGTCAGCGATTACACTGTGGCAGTTAAGGAATTTGACTGGTACAAAGGAAGAGACTGCAGAGGGCATTTCTAGCCAGAAGCGATGTGTTGGTTTGTAGTGTTTGCAGGTTTTAGGACAAACGACCTGAAGCAAGAAACCAAACAGACGTGCAGCTTGTAATCACATTATTTCTTTATCACCACTCCTCTTCCTTTGTATCTTCATTACAGCAATAAACTAGAGTTGGTCTCAAACCACTTCCTTTGCGCCATCATTACCTGTAGCGTGCGGCGGCATAACTCAGGTAAAGTATTCAGTAACGTGAACGCAGGAGAAGTTGCTGAGAAGTGGTTGCAGAGTATCTCCCTCTGAGAACTAAGGTTGCATACTTACTGTCAATGGGGGCAGGGAGAATTAATATCTAATTATTAACAGTGCCTTCAGGTCTGTTACTTGTATTGCTAAAAATAAGTGCAGTAACCTGCATTTTGATTGTCCTTGTTTTTTAAATTTTTTTTTGAAGCATTTGTCTTCTTCAGTTTCTGAGTTTTGAAGATTTGTCCTACTCTCATATGGGTACAACTCGATATTTTGAGCTTCAGGAAGAGAAACTCGCTCTGTGAAGGGTTCTCAAAATTTGGGGATTTAAGCAGACGTAACCGTGCTAAATGTTTTTTAAGACTGAATTCTCTGTGGTAGTAATAAGTCCTTCTCTTGTTCCGTGGTCGAATTGAAAGCACTGTTAGTTTTTCATGCGTGTTTCCTTACACCAACCCTGCGCAGTATTATCCGTGTATAATTACTGCTATTATTTAGATGTGGAATAGCAAGATCCGCTTGTTCACGTGGACGCTTTTCAGGCAACGACGTGTTACTGGGCTGTACATAAAGAGCCTGTCTAACCCATTAGGAATTTTGTCATCCTGTGTTTTCAGATAACAGATCCTTAGCATTTACAAATGTCTTCCCGGTGAATGCACAAAAAAACTTCCCAGAAATCAGTGGATGTGTTTTGCTTAGTGCTCAGGGAGTTTAGTTCTTGTAGTGCTGAATGCCACAATTCATTCATACTTATGTAGATCCCTCCATAACTGAGGGTCCTGGAGTATCATTGAGGCAGCCTGTGGTGGAAAAGAGAACTGAACTCTGTTCTTCTTCAGTCTTGAGCTAGCAGCCTAGTCATTTGGCCAGTTGTCTTCTAAAAACTGAATCCGCTATTGAAATTTTATTTTTCTGTCTGTACTGTTACCATTTATTTCGGAGGAAAAAAAAAGAAAACTATCCAATATATTTGGATACTGTTTATCACATATTGGTTATCCTAAAGTAATATGTCTGGTAGGGTTGGGTAGGGTGGATTATAAAGTTGCTGTGCTATGAAGATAACTTATTTCCCCCAGCGTTTGTTGCAGGAAGGTTCATCAGAGCAGAGCCGTAGTTGTAAGCTTCACCTTACTGATCCACAGTGTTATGTATAGCCTTTTTTCCACTTTGTGTGCCTCATAAAGGATGAACATATAAATTTAATTTGCTTACTGTTCACATGAAAGTAGAAATGGAAAACAGTAACTCAGATGGTGCATATGTAAAATGAAACTTTTCATTTTTCTATGAAACCAGGAAGGGGGAAAGATGAGTTTCTGAAGAACCTCCTATCTTTCCTGCGTGAATATAAGTCACTTTGACATTCTTCCTGCCTCTGATTTCTCTGAACTCCTAACTATCCCAGTTAATCGAACTCTTGAAATGAAGGCCTCTCTCTTGTTCAGTTCTTACAAGCTAGTGGTAGCTGGGCTTGCGGTAATCAAAGTAACTTGCTGCAGATGCTCCTCTGAGGAGGCGATGAAGGTAGCGGTGGTTCACATGGCCAGCTCCAGCCTGAGAATTTAAGGAAGGAATAGAATAAAGGACTTTGAAGAGCTGATGATGGTAAACCTAGGCAGGACAATGGGAAAGATTTAGTGCTGTCCTACAATCCATGAACTGTTGAATGATGATTACTGTCTGATCCAGTTCCCACTTAAGTTGAGAGAAAATTTGCCATTGAGTTATATAGGCGCAGCTTAGTCCTGTAGTGCATAAAACTGGCATTTCCTTCCACAACTGAATTCTCTCCACAAGGAAAAAAGAAGTATGAATAAGCAGATTTTCCTCTCCAAATGGATAGGAAGAAAAAAAAAAGTTCCACTTTTAATTAAGACAGAAGCAAAAATACATTTTGAGTTATTCTAAAGTTTTGGGAAATATTTTAAGTTTAGATTCCTGTACTTCATTTCTGAGTAGATTAGTGGATTAGTGTCTGACTATTCAGAAAGCTCATCATTTTACATTTCAAAACAAAAATGATTTATTATGTGGGTGTGTCTATATCAGCTGGCAATTTTATATGTCATATGTATTTTTTATATAAATATGTATATATTAAATATATAAATTAATTCAAGTTGTTGAAAAGTTTGGCAGCTCAATAGACCTTAGGCTTTAGACCATCGTTTAATATCTGGGGACTGTAAAACCTGTGATTTTGTAGTATTGTATAACTGTTTCCACAATTTGTGATTCAAAACACGCTTTTGTTAGAGCTGGCACTGTTGTTATATCAGCTTAAGGCCTCCCATTTGTGTCACAGGGTGCGTAAAATTACAGTGAGCAGCAGGAAGTAATGTACAGTTGCATTCATCAAATGGTGAATGTCATTTAATTGCTGCATAGCTTTGGCAAGAAGCTTTTGAAAGTCCTGTGTCTTAGATTTTTCACTACGTTTGCACGCTCATCGTCTTAGCTGTTTGCTGTTCTTAGACCTGAGGTCAAATCCTTGATCTCACTTGTCCGTGATATTTTGAATATCTATATGGGCATTATTTGAACATAAAGAAAACAAAACCATCTTTTGAGGTTTTTATGAACAATGTTTTATCCGTTCTCTTATTCCCAAAATTTCTTTTGACATTCACTTGTAACTAATTCTGTGGAATTAGTATTGTCTGTTTTTCAGAATAGCAGTATTTTGTTTACTGATTTTATTCTTTCATAGAACTGCAGAACTGAATGACTCACAGCAGTGTTGAAAATCATCCCATGCTTTTGTCATCAACACGCATCCCACACAGAATGATATGTACCTGAAGTGGAAGTTGCATAGGCTTTCGCTGAGCTAAAACTTACGCCTAATGCCCAACTTGCATATTCTTTTCTGAGATACCTGATGAAAACAGAAGGCTTCCCAGACTGTTTGGTAGCATTAAGGACTATCCGCCGAACCCGCTTCCCTGTGCTCTGACGCAGCCTCGCTCTGTTGCCCTCCAGGGCATAGTGCAGAGCTCATCTGTTTACCCAGACTTGTCTGAGGGGAGGGTGGGTTGGGTTTTGCTCCAGTTTTTTGAGGACTGCAATTTGCGTCGCCTTGGTCTTTCCAAAAAAACTGTGTGTCTTTGTATAGGTTCTCAGACTTGGGCTGGGGATTGCATTTATAGCAGATGGAAGTAAATGACAGGCCGATCCATTTCATAATATTTATTTTAACCTTCTGCCCAGAAGTGGTAATATTTTAACATGAGGAAAACTGCTGAGCCCTGTCACGGAATGTGTTTAAATTACTCAATTTGAAATATGTAAGATGCCCTATGATACAACCCAGAGGGGGTAGCAGAAAATTTGCCAAACAGCCAGATAGAGTAAGCTTAGTGCTTTATGTCAAGTGCCCTAGGAAACATCTTGCGTCC